TCCTCATTATCATTATAGTATAATGGGTTCAAAAACCCTATTCTAATTCTTAAGGCCCCTATGTTGTGGGTACTTCTCAAAGTAGGCTTGAGGGTTTTGAAGAGTGCTCTATATAACATTCTACAACCTACTTTCTCTAAGTTAGGGTCTGACACTATTTTTGGTTCCTAAGAAAAAGGACCTTCATTCAGAGAACTACCCATGTAAACTTTAATGCTTTCGGTCGTTGAGCCACTCAGATAGGCAAGTTTGGGGATTTGTCGGGAAGGCTTTATTAAGGCCATCTTAAAGCCTCATTCAGCCCATATAATGCCTGATTAAGGCCTGTTTAAGGCCATATTCAGGCGATTCCTTACGTGGCCCTTTTCCAAATTGTTTTCTGTGCATCTCCAAGCCGGGTTCGTCTGGGTTTGGCTTCCTGCCGCAGTACGTAGGGCAATAGCCCGACACCCCACCCTCACATAAGCTGAGTTCTTTGGCTGACCTATTCTGAATGTTAGAGTTAGAACGCACCCCAGAAACGACTCTGCTGTAGCAACTGCGCTTTTATGTAAACTCGATAGGGTCCTAAAACCCTCAAGTCCCAAAGCCATAGAACGCGTTCAGAGCCCAGGGGGTGATGAGTTGAACGTCGCAGTCGCCCTCTCGCTGATTGGAGTATCGACCGCCTGGATTAGACGCTGGGACGAAGTTCATGTTACTGAGACATCATATTGCGTGCATTTTAGTTTACTACATTATGACCGTATATGTTATATTCAGTTAAAACTGATCCGTAAAGCCGTTAGTCCTAAATTTTTAGTCTTGGAAGCAACCGTGAACCGAATTGCAACCCTCCAACATCGCAGACAAAGGCGTGATCCCAACAGGGCCCATGGGCGACATTCTGGCTGCTGCCTGTGACGCCCACGGGGTTCCTCCGGCAAGCAACGGTTGGGTGTTAAAGCTGCAGCTAAAGTTAGTTGTGTCTAGATTTTTCGGAGTTCAAGTGTGAAACTGGAGGTTTAGTCTGTATCCACATGTTTGTCGCCGATTCTGCTACTCTCAGTAACTTCTTGTATGACTGCACTGCTTGTCGTTGCGATTTTCAGCTGCACTAACACTGCAGTTCTGAATTGTTGTAAATGTTGTAATTCAAGCTCAAAATTCGGACAGATGCAGCTGGTGCGACTGCAGCGCGTATCATGAATGTCCTCGACATTGCTGCCCTCTCAGTGCTACTCTCCGATACTGTCCTTGCCGTTTGTGTTCCATTTTGTGGAGTGGTAGCGTTTCTTGTGAGGCGAAAATGGAACCTGAGTTCCCAAACCCTAAACCCTAAACCCTAAAACCCAAAACCCAAAACCCTTAATCCTAAACCCTAAACCCGAAAACCCTAAACCCTAAACCCTGAAACCCGAAACCCGAAAACCCTAAATCCGAAAACCCTAAACCCTAAACCCTGAAACCCTAAACCCGAAAACCCTAAACCCTAAACCCTAAACCGGCAGAGTTCCCAGACATTTGCGCTGGCACCTGCTCCAGGTCGAATTCCGCGGTCGGCGCTGCGAGGGCGACGTAGGCAAGCGATGGCTGGCTGTGGGCTTCAAGAACTGTATAAGAACTCTATGGGTTTAGGGTTCAGGGTTTAGGGTTTAGGGCTTCAAGAACTTTATGGGGCTTGAGGTTTTACGTTGTTGTGGTCGTAGGTTTGAGATTGCCGGGCTTTGTGCCGTTGGGGAACGGTTTGGGGTCTTCGGAGGTTCGACCGAAGCATGGCTGCAGAAGGCACAACCTCACAACATAACGTGACGCCAGAAGCAGGCATAGAAAGCAAGCAGCTGCGGAATTCAATTTCGGAAGGCCAGTTGTTCACATCGTCATGACCCCCAATCCCTACAACCAAAACCCTTGGACAAGGAGCTCAAACAAACCCTAAGCCCAAAGCCTCAAGCCCTAAACACTAATAAAACCCACACCCTAAACCCTAAACCTAACAAAAAACTCTAAGCCCTCATAAACCCTAAACCCTAAACCCTTAACCCTAAAACCTAAACCCTAAACCCTCAATGTCATAAACCCCCCAAGAGAGCTGCTCGAGTTCTTGAGCTCGTGGTTTTAGTGTCCGGTTTTGGCTCTGGCCTTGAGGTTTTAGGAGTTTTAGGGGTTTAGGGGTTTAGGGGTTTAGGAGTTGAGGGGTTTTAGGGGTTGAGGGGTTATAGGGGTTTAGGGGTTTAGGGGTTTAGGGTTGAGGGTTTAAGGGTTTTAGGGGTCTAGGGTTTAGGGGTTTAGGGTTTAGGCCCTAGCCTTGGGCCGTCAAGTTGAGCTTGGCTCGTGGACTTCAAGGTTTGTGCAAAGGTGCTATTAACGTCCTACCATTGTCTCTTCGAGTTCTTCAATCCAGATACCCTAAACCCTAAACCCTAAACCCTTTTGGGGTTTAGGGTCTAGAATACTTAAATAGTAGGGTTTCTCCGCATCTTGAAGCTTTCACCCTCAATGACTCAAGGCTACTTCCGTCACATAACAGTCCTGCTGCCTTCCGCGCCAGAATGGAGCTTTGACATGTATCGAAGACGGTCGGGCTCCCGGGGTTCAGAGTGGAGGTTAAATAGGGTTTAGGGTTTAGGGTTTAGGGTTTAGGGTACTAGGGGTTTAGTCAGTTTCCCCCAAAACCCCAAACCCGGGTTTAGGTATTGCCGGGGTGATTGGCTCAGCCCAAATCTTCACTAAGCGCCATCGACCCGGCCACTTTGTCTAGCACGAAGCTGGCTTTCGTTCTTGAAGATTCTGCCGTGGCGCCTTGGCCCTAAAGTCTATTTCCTAAACGGCCTAAACCCCCATCCCCAAAACTTCAAAAGTATGCGGGTCAGTTCTTGCCATTTGGGATTCGAGATTTTGGATGTAAGACCCATGTAAGATGTAAAAAGGAAGAATCTCGGAAAATAGTCTTTTGTTTTGGGACCACCAAGCTGTAGATAAGGTTCTTGGGTTTTCGAAGCTGCTTGTTTGGAGGTATCTTTACCATCCTGCCTGAGCAGAAGACGGTGCACTATCAGCGGCGACACTCCGTTTTTGCCCAGCAGGTGGGCCAAAGACTTGCACAGCCCGCGCACCTAAGTCCTTTCTGCGAACAGATTGTTTAAGAAGGGCTAACTCCGCGCCCGGAACCCTGAACCGGAAACCTGACCGAGGATGTGAAAACGAAAAACAGAGCCCTACTGTACAGCCCCTGAACCATCAACCCGAGAGGGCAGGGCCTAGCGTCTTCGAGGAGTTTCGTGGAAGAACTTCTGGGTGTTGAGGGGTTTGGAGGTCTCGAGCCTTAGAGCTTAGGTTAATATAGGAGCCTAAATAGCTACAAATACTATTCCTTAGGGTTCATTATTATAGGGTTCCTTATTACAACTAGAGCTTAATATAAGGGCCTTAATAAATAGGAATAGGGTTTGGGGGTATATTATTCCCAGAACTGTAAAAAGGAACCCCCCAAAACCCTATTCTAATTATTGGGGCCCCTACATTAGGTGCTGGAGTTCCAGGGTTAGTAGGGGGTGTTTCCCCACGCTGGGTTCGGCTCCGAGGTTCTTTTGCTGCCCGAACTCGAAGGTCAGCAAGCCTCTGTAAACTAAGCCCTCAAGCCGAAACCCAAAACCCTAAACCCTAAGACCCCGAAAAATAAGAAACTGCACAAAAAAAAATCCGGACCCTAACCCTAAACCCTAAACCCTAAACCCCATACCGGAAGCCTCAGGTGCCAGAAGAGTTAGATTGGCCTAAACCCTAAACCCTAAACCCTAAACCCTAAACCGCCTCAGGTGCCAGAAGAGTTAGATTGGCAAGCCCTGGTCTCTGACGCCTCCTGGCTTCACTTGACTGGCCCCTCGGCCCTTGATCAGCTGGGTTCAGGGTTTAGGGTTTAGGGTTTAGGGTTCAGGGTTTAGGGTTTAGGGTTTAGTTTTGGTCAGCTGGGTTTTTAAGGGGGCAGTGAAGGTGTTCCTAGAAGGGTCGTAGAAAGGTTGCCAGAAGAAGCCACATAAGTGGGAATATCATATGACTCTGAACTGTTTGGTGCGAGTTCTTTGGGGCATCAACCCTAAACCCTAAACCCTAAGCCTATGGCTCTACACTGTTTCATGGGAGTTCTTTCGGGCTTTGTACGGTCTTGAGGGGTTCTTCCCTAAGGCTCTATGCACCCATATCGTAGATACTTAGGCCTGAAAGTACCTATAAAGGGACCCCTTTACGGCCTAAGTATCTTCTAGAATGGTACATTCTAGGACATTTTCAGGTGGGTAGTTACCGTTATGGGAGCCTTATAGAAGGTCTATATACCTTATAGAAGCCTTATATAAGCCCTATATACCCTAAACTCCCCACCCTAAACCCTAAACCCTAAACCCTAAACCCTAAACCCTAAACCCTAAAACCCTAAACCCTAAACCCTATATACCCTAAACTCCCCACCTGTAGCTTCCTTTAATACATGGGAGCCTTAGGGCTTACTTCTAGGGTCCCCACTTGGTTTGTTTAGAGCAGGCTTTCGAGGATTGATGTTTAGGGTTTAGGGTTTAGGGGTTTAGGGGTTTAGGGGTTTAGGGTTTAGGGGGTTTAGGGGGTTTAGGGGGTTTAAGGCTTTGGGGTTGGGGTTGTATAACAGGGTCTGAAGGGTTTGATGTGAGTCCAGACGACCGTCTTAAGGCCTTCATTGAAGAGATTGAAAGAGCGAAGACTCCGAAAGCTTAAGGCCGCTGAGCCAAAATCCACATGTGATCAAACATGACGGTCGCTTTTGCAAAGCATTTCTAATGGGGTTAACATGGAGACGACCTGGCTATATAAGGGGTATATAAGGACTATACAATGGTTGTTTAAGGTAATGGGATTAAGGGTCCCTATTCGGGGTCCCACCTAAGGTCCTTAGAGAATTGCTTGTGCTGGGACTGCCGCTTATGGAGAATCCAGTCAAGGACCTCAAGTCCTAAACTCCAAACTCTGAAGGCCTCGTTTGGTCCTTGCTGGTTCAGGGCAAGGCCTGTTCTGAGTGCACACTCGAACAGGGTGAGAAAGGCTTGTTGAAGAGAAAATCCCGAAACCCTAAACCCTAAACCCTTATTGAAGAGAAGATCCCGAAACCCTAAACCCTAGCCCTTATGGAAGAGAAAATCCCGAAACCCTAAACCCTAAACCCTTATTGAAGAGAAAATCTTAAATCCCAGGTATCACTCCGCTTGTCAGTGCAGCAGCTCGCCAGAGTTGGGCCAGCGCGGCTCACGTGGCAGAGTGCTCCGGCGTTTTTTATTGTAGCGGTCTAGGGGCAAAGGGTCTATAGGGCTTAGGACTTATAGGGTTTAGGGATTCAGGGTCAAGATTTAGGGCTCAGGTCCGTTTAGGAAGTTCACGGCCTAAGGCAGCGTGGCGTGCCGATTTCTCTGGATCTCAACCATCGCCCACAGCTGGGTGGGCGGCTTAGAGATATGAGAGAAGCCATCAAGAAATTTGGGTACTGAACGAGTTCCAGGGTTTTGGGTCATATCCTTGCGTAACTGACTTAACTCCTTAGGGACTATATCGGGGGATTGTAGCATTATTCTGACCCCTATATCAAAGCTTGCCTTGGTCTTCTTGGGTTTTGATTGGCCCAGGAGCTTGGAGCTCTCCCTCGTGCAAGAACACCAGTTGCTGTCCCAAAGACTCCCTTTCGGAGTTTAAGGTATAGAGTTACAGTTCAGGCTTCAAGGTTGAGGGCTTAAGACCCAAAAGGTGCCCTAAACCCTTAAACCCTACACCCGAATCCCCAAACTTGTAAACCCTACACCATGAACCCCGAAGTGGCACGGACCCTTACTTATAATGTGTAGGTTCTGTCGGGTCGACGTTGGTTCTTTCCCACTTTGGAGGCTGTTTTGTGCAACCCGAAACCCCCAAACCCCCAAACCCCAAACCCTAAACCCCTAGGCCCTAAACCCTTAGCTAACGCCCCAAGAAGGTGGCCTCTTTTGCCGGTTTCCGTGATTGCGGTATATCGGGATCCTTTTTGTGAACCTACAGAACAACTCCTAGAAGCTTTTGATTCAGGAAGATAATTTGACTTCGGACCCTAAGCCTTAAACCCATGACTTGCAATACTCCACAGCCACGACTCATCTTTAGTTCAGTGGTTTTGGAGTGTAGGTGCCCCCGTAACATGGGTGCCTTGATGCTTCGATTCGGTTGCTGGAGTTAGTTCTACCATAATCTAGCCATAATTATCTACGGACTATGAGGCAATGAGTTGTCTAACTATTCAAAATTCTAAACCCTAAACCCTAAACCTGTATATGAGCGCAATTCGCAGGCACCTTGCAGGAGCTGTGGGACGTCGTTTCGCCCTTCTGCCACTTGCTGGAGGCCAGGTCTCGTAGAAACGCCCAAAACCGCATGGGGTTTAGGGTTTAGGGTTTAGGGTTTAGGGTTTAGGGTTTATGGAGTTTTGACGTCCAGGGTTTCGGGGTGTCTACGGTTCATACCTTTCGGGATGTTTAGGGTTCAGGGTTTCGACACTGATTGTGAATTTGGGGTTGGTGGCGGGTTTAGAAGAGCAGCGTTTCGCATCTAGGGCTTTAGAGTTCTGGAGTGAAGGGATTTAGGGTTTTGGCGGTTTTGGTTTTGAAAGGTTTTAGGGCTTGCGAGTTTTAGGGTATAACTGGACCCTCTAAACCAAACATTTGCATTTATTATTCAAAATTATGGTTTACTTACATATGCACTCCAAAAGGTGGGTGATTCACGGCTTGAAGCTTTTTGCTGTCGCTCCCTTGAGCAAGGCGGGTGGTAGGTACCGATGCGAGATAGATTTCGAGGTGGAGCCCGAAACTCTACACCCCAAACCCTAGGCCCTAAACCTAAACCCTAAATCCATGCAGAAGTTGGGGGGCTGTTGAGATCGACACCTGGTCACTTAGTTGCATACCGGTTTTCAGGCTCCCAGAGGTATTGCACCCCTACCTGAACACTGCAGCCCTTACGTGGTTGGATATGATACATGGTTTAGGGTTTAGGGTTCCGAGAACTAAATTGCGAGCGGAGGTATGTCCACAAAGATGGAATTCGCAAGCCCCTGAGCCCTCAAATCCTAAAGCCCTCAACACTAAAGCCCTAAGCTCTGAAGCCGCAAATCCTATACGGAAGCCCTAAACCCCTGAGACTTTATCGGTGCGGCAGGTCCTTATCCTCTCTGTAGATCAGCTGCATGGGCTGGCTGACAGAAATCTGAAGGACTGCAGTGGTTGATTTTCAGTCAGAATCCCTATCCAACTGCAGGACGAGTTCGTCTAGCCTTGCCTGACAAAGCTCTAGGATTAGGACGAGCTTTGTGCCTAGGGCTGCGGAAACTCAATGACTGCTCAAAGCCTTCCCAATAAAACGACTTTGTTATGTCGTCTTGAAGACTCAGATGCCAGGTGTAAGATAGGGGCAAAAAAATTACCTATACTATTTTTTTTTTGGGGGGGGTCCTTATTGTAGTTATAGTATAACATATCCCCAAACCCTATTCTGATTATTAAGGCCCCTATTTTAAGTGTGATGTGCTTGCATGTGTCCCTGGATGGTGTGAACTCAGAACACCCAGAGCTCCACACCTCGTAAGGCTGCCAGCAACTTCTAGTCCAGGGCTGCTCCTTCCAGGACTACCGGCGCGAGGATGCCGACGAGCACTATGCCTCTTGCTCAGATTTTCATTCGGGAGACTCGGAGATACTGCAGACCCCTCGTTTGAAAATATAACCTAAACCCTGAACCCTAAACCCTAAACCCTAAACCCTAAACCCTAAACCCTAAACCCTAAACCCTAAACCCTAAACCCTACCTTCCCCCTATAAGGAGTTTGCTTACTGGGGATCCTGAAGCTTCAGGCCCTTGGAGAAACGATGGCTTCCTGAGTCTACATGTAGACCCCCAAACCCCAAGCCCTAAACCCTAAACCCTAAACCCTAAACCCTAAACCCTAAACCCTAAACCCTAAACCCTGAACCCTAAACCCTAAACCCTAAACCCTAAAACCAAATCCTAAACAAAACTAAACCCTAACCCTGAAGCCTCCAACACTAACTCCTAAGCCCAAATCCATCCACCCCGTAATATGAGTCATGAACTCCTGGAATCCTCCGCGGCAAGGTCTCTACGATGATAAGCCTGCAGCAGCTGTGGAAGTGCAAGCGCCTGGCTCTTTGTCGGAAGGACCCAACTTCTGCCCCTGGAATCCCCTGAAGCCCGGAGCCCTGAAGCCCTAGAGCCCTAAACCCTAAAACCCCAAACCCTCAAGTTGCTTTAACCTTCATCCTCGAAGGGTTGATGGGAGGAGCAAGAGTCTACTCCTGGTCCATCGCTTCATGTTACTGAATCTACTAGTTCTACTATCGCCGGTCTTTTCGCTTGCAAAGCCGATCTCGCGACAACTAGTCGTACTGCATGTAATCCCTTGGCCCGTAAGCAGTCTTCCCTACCCACACACTCACACAAACCCGAAAGCCTTCTAAAGGAGTCGGACAGCTGTGGTGTTCAGCAGCGGTGGAGCATCGTCACAGAGATGTCAGGCATGTGCCAACCCTCGGATGCAATGTTAGTGGAACGGAGCTGACAGGGTCCTTGGATTGTATGAAGGCCTGGTATTGCCGACAGTTGTGGCGACACTTAGACGTAAAAGCTGCCGGTGATACAAGGGCGTATATGGATCTAGAAGAAGTTTACGTAGCTCATGTAAGTGTCGTCGTCACTTCCAGTATGATGACACGACGAGGCAAGCCTGTGGCGGGTGCATGTCCCGCCGAATCAAGAACAGCAAAGTGCACTATCTAGCATGCTTTGTCGTGGAGTCTTTGTAACCTTACGGCCGAATCCGCAAACACTAAGCCAAAGCCGACAAGGAAGTCCCGAACCCGACTCCGTAACACCTTATACACAGTGATCCCCGACCCAAATGCCCTTGATTGGACTCTTTCGACTCGAAGGCATCATGCACGGAACCATAGAGTGCCAAAAACCCGAAATCGTTCAACAGCCCTTGCCGAAGTAAGATACTTTAGCAGGCTCCGGCCTGCCGACGCCAACGAGCACAAGGGATACCCCTGTGTGGCACTCGCCAAAGGCTCGGGCTCGTTTCTTGAACCGGATCGTTTCTGTTCAACCGGTTTAGGTTTGACATGGGTTAAAATTTTTTAGGGTTTAGGGGTTTAGGGTTTAGGGTTTAGGGTTTGACATGGGTTAACAAAAACTTAGGGTTTGGGGCTTCAGGGTAATGAAAGGAGTCAGTGCATCTGGGGTTTAGAGTTCAGAGTTTGGGTGATCCTGCAATCATCAAGTTGCTTCATTCTTGTTGCTGCTGCTACTAAGCCCTGAATGGAACCCCCTAAGCCCTAAACCCCCTTTAGGCTCCCCTATGCATCCTAAACCCTAAACCCTAAACCCTAAACCCCTAAACCCTAAAGCCTAAATCCCAAACCCCCTTTAATTTAAGGCGCCCTTATGCATCGGAGGATCCCTGCGGCGGAGGAAGTGCTTGGGCTGCCGGCCTGCTACATGCACTGCACTGTGAGGCTACTTTGGGGCCCCGGGCCAGGGGTTAGAAGATGCCACAAGGGTTCTTGTAAACCCTAAACCCTGAACCCTAAACCCTTTAAGGGTTGACAGAAATTCTAACATTTAAAAGTTTTCTGCGCGGACTTTATAAGGAGTTCAGGGTCCAAGGTTCGTGGTGTTTTTGCTTTGGAGTTTGTGATTCAGGATTTGCAAGGCATTGGTTCAGGAATCGGGGTTTGGGATTTAATGAGGACGTTTAGGGGTTTCGGGGCCTATTTTTTCGTGTTCGGGCCCTTGACAAGACCAGAGCGGTCCAGTACTCAACAACCTCAACCCTAAACCCCAAAACCATAAACCCTTAAACCGACCCTTAAACCCTAAACCCTTCAACCCGAAACCCCTAAACCCCCAACCCCTAGACCCTTTTACCTGAAAAAGTCCGCGCCTTGTTCCGTGGCACGTTCCAGAAAGCTACATAACTCGGTGTTAAGCTTTAGGGCCTTTAGGTTTGGGGTTTAAAGTTTAGGGTTTTGGGGTTTTGGGTTTAAGGTTTAGGGTTGAGGCTCTTAGGGTTTAGGGTTTACGGACGAGAATCCTAAACAGGTAGGTTCTTTGGGGGTTAGGTAAGCCCAAAGAGCAGGCTCTTCCGCTGCCCAAAGCCATGCGCCGAGCAGATTTGCTTTCAGCACTCTGCCAGGACCCAAGGTTTGGAGTTGTATCCGAACCCTAAACCCTAAAATCTACACCCTAAACCCCAAACCCTAAACCCCTTCAGGGTTTCAGGCTTGAGGGATCTTAGGTTCGAGGGTGTACTAGTACAGCGTGAGTCTTTGAGGGGTTTATGAGGTGTAGGTTACACGTGAGGTTAACCCTAAACTTAGGCCCTAAACCCTAAACACTCAACCCCCCCCCAACAAAAAAAAAAAAAAAACACTAAACACCTAGTCACCCTGGTCTAGTAAAACCTGGCCTTGCACGTGAGGTTTAGCTTCCTTGTGGACGTTGGCTGTCTGTTTTCAGTGTATAGGGGCCGGAATAAATTGAATAGCCAATGGGAGAACTGAAGACATGGCTTTGCCCTTTATGCTTGGCCTATCTTAGGAAGCTGGAAGCTTTTTCGGGCCAAGCTATTGAAGAGAAAAGGAAATACTAGACTGAAAGGGGATAGTATTGTTAAGTTCGACGGGGAGATACAACCCTAAACCCTAAACCCTAAGCCCTAAACCTTAACCCTAAACCCTAATACCTAAACCCTAAACCCTAAACCCTAAACCGTCGCCCCTGGGGTCCCACCAACCTAAGAGGCCACCAAGCACCCAATACTCCATTGGGCCCAGGGGATTGTTAAGTGTTCAGACCTCCGCATATGTTAAGTAAGGAGCAGGTCTTTTTGTGTCCTGATATTGGTTCAAATTCGAGCAGGACGCAGAGGTTGACGGCTACTCCCAAGAGATCTCTTTCGGTTTGGTGTCCCAAGAAATTCGTTGTAAACCCTCAATCCTAAACCCTAAACCCTAAACCCTAAACCCTAAAAGCCCTAAACCCAAAACCCTATAGACCCTAAACCCTAAACCCTAAAAGCCCTAAACCCTAAACCCTAAAAGCCCTAAACCCTAAACCCTAAAAGCCCTAAGCCCGAAACCCTAAACTCCTAGATCTCGTTGCACTAATCGCGGGACCCATGTCTGCTCCAACTCTGCCTAGATTAGAGCTGGTTCACCTGCGTGCTGGGCGATGTAGACAGCTTAGGGTTTAGGATCTAGGGTTTAGTTCCTATATTATTCCTTAATGTTCCTTATGAAAAGAAAGTTTTATGAAGGAGCCCAAAAAACCTATTCCAGCTATTGCGGCCCCTATATCACCGTGCGTTTTTGAAGGACACCGAAGGCGATTTCTCCCAGGTGCCTGTCGCTGCATCTGGCGGGGCATTTCTGGATCAGGTGTATGGGTGCGGTTTAGGGTTCAGGCTTCGGGGTCTAGGTCTAGGGTTTAGGGTCTAGAGTTAAGGGTTTAGGGTCTAGGGTTTAGGGTTCAGGGTTCAGGGTCTAGGTTTAGGGTTTAGGGTCTAGGGTTTTAGGTTCAGGGTTCAGGGCCTAGATTTAGGGTCTAGGGTTTCGGGTTTAGGGTTCAGGGTCTAGGGTTTAGGTGTAGGTTGCTACCAAGATGAGCGGACTGAAGATGATGATGGTGGGGAAGATTTGTGATGTTGCGTCGCCATGTAGTGCCTTCTGCTGACACCCTTGCTATTTCAGGGAAGTCCCATGAAAATCTGAATATTGGGAGAAGGGTATTCGCATTTTCCAGGGCTTACGGAAGAATCGAGATTCTCATACGATCGGTTTTGGTGATTTCAGCATGATCGGTTGCTGTCGGACAGTGATGCGGCGTGTGCAGTACAGCGTTCTGTCCTTTTGGCGTGTTGCTTCACGGTTTCGGGCAGTTCGTTCGTAAGCGGTGTCTTCCGAACAGAAATTGGGAGTTGTGCATAGGTCTTCATCGATTGGTTGCTCTAAACCCTAAACCCTAAACTCTAAACCCTAAAACCGCTCAACCCTAAACCTGAAGTCCACCTTTCAAATCTCCCGGATCATCCCAAAAGCCCCGTAGCGCCTCCTCAGTCCTGAACACTTACGCCCGCAAGAATCTTGAATTTGAGACTTTTACTGAAGTGGTTTTTACTTTGGGTTTTGGGGCCACTTGCAGTTCCATGTTTATCTAATCCCAGCACCCTCAACCCTAAACCCAAAACTGTAAATCCCAAGATCGTAATCCCCAAACCCTAGAGCCCACAACCCTAGTCCTTGAAAATTTTACTCCAAACCCTGAACCCCTGAGCCGAAAGCCCGATACCTGTGAGCCACTACGCCCAACATCCTAATCCGCGAGGATGCAAAAGCCCTGCCCGAATCATTGTGCTGAACCCTGGCCCCTAAACCCGGAACTCCTGAAACTCAAAGCCCCGAGCCCCAACCCCACCCCCTCAAAAGGCCCTAAACCCTAAACCCGAAGTCCCCCATCCGAAGTCACCAAGCCAACTGAAATCCTTCCCGCTCAGGTCACCTCGAAAGAGCTCTGTGCCGCCGAAGCCCAGTTCGACGGAAGAGCGGCGAAGCTAACGTCGACCCTGGCTGTGCCCAGGGAACCTCCTCGAATGCTATAGAAAAACGATGTCTTTGCTTGGGAGGGGAGTGGGGGTCGGGGTTTTGGGG